CGAATTTCATCCAACTAAAAAGATATTGATGGGGAGACCTAGATTTAGTATGAAAGTGCATAAAAAAGAGATTCGTAAGCTGGCCTCACCAGAAGACGACTACTGATTCCCGTTGTACTGCAGTCGTTTGGTTTTAACACGACGTTCAGGCTGACGCAGTCCACGAGATATCTTCCCTCGATTCGGGTGAAAACGGGATGAGCTTTCGTCCATCATGTAATTGATATCATCAGGGCTAGAAACTATTCTTGAAAGTATCACATTAACACTAGATCAAGGAGCATAAAGTGTTAACGTGAGACTTTTAGAAGAATGAGTCCCAGCTTTTATAAATGTCCATCAGCCCGTTTTCACCCAAAGCGAGGGAGGATGGCTCGTGGATGGCGTCAATCTGAACGTCGTATTAAAGCCAAACGGCTGAAGTAGAACGGAATTCAGTCGTCGTGCTCTGATTAGATCAACCTACGAATCTCTGCTTCATGTACTTTCATATGAAATGAAGTCCCCCCCAACAATGGTACCTCATTGAAACCCAGTTAGACTTTGTATAGAAAAAATGATCGATGATAGATGATGTATGGTATTTGTTGGTAGATAAGTGAGATGGGACTCCAACATTTAGTCAAATATATCATAGGCGAACAATAATCAGCTCATCACGGAGCCATCAGAGTCGCAGCACGATGAGTCGAGGTCTTCTTCTCATAATTCAACAGTCACAAGCCCAAGGCAAAAATGTTTTAGAATCTGGTGAGGCCAATTTATGAATCCTGTCCTCCTGCCTTGTCAAATGAAATGGAGAGTATGCCAGTATTAGCCTATAGCTTGTAAAGAATTAAGACAAAATATAAATAATCTTCTTGGAGAACCTGATTATGATTTCCCAAAGATCCGATGCTCATCCAACAAGATAGTAAGGAATTAATATGCGATTTGGTTGAGTTGAAAACTTAAAGACCATTAGTAACAAACCCCCATAATTATGGTATATGAAATATAGAGAAAAAGGCCCACTCGTTTGCAATCAATGGGGAAAATGGGACAATTAAAATTATTTATTTGATTCATTCTTATCTATAAATAAACTTTATAGAACTTTAACTTCGCAGATGTCAAGTGGCTCTAACCAGATATCAAAGGATGGTAGCATGATTCGAAATAGAACGAATTAGAGAATATTTAAAGAATTTACATACATATTTTGGACTTGTACAGGCATAGTTTAACTGTGAATGATCCGCCTTTGTGGAAGCCAGGACATATTTAAGCTAGTATTAAAAAGCCACATAATGCACTTTAAGACTTTAGAAGTCAAAATAAAATTTAAGTATGCCTACTATGCGTAGATATGGACCTTTACCTGGCTGATCTCGATTTCATCTAGTGAGCACTCGAGATTAGCGGCTGATACACTATCGTTGGCTGGTTCAGTACTGACAGACGATGCTGGCGAAACAGCTCCAAAACTGGGTTCGATAGACTGACGGCGACCATGGTGAGACTGAAGATTATGACTTATCCGTGGCCTACACCGGCCGTCTTGAGACATCGGAGATGTAGTTCGAACAGTTGTCAAAGCATCATCCGCGGTCTTAGAAGGCCCACGTAGCGACAGCACAGGAGAGCTTGATCTGATAGAACGGGGAGAGCCAAGCGAGCGAGACTGGGACAAATCAGAAAGCGAAGAAAGTGGAGATGAGGATATAGAAGTGGAAGCCAGAGGGGATCCTCGGCGCTTGCTGGCT